ACGACGCCGACGACGCCGCCGACGACGCCGCCGGCGACAACGATGACAACGACGACGACGACGACGGCGACGGCGGCCGCGGCGGCGGCGGCGACGACGACGACGACGACGACGACAATGTCGACGCCGACGCCGACGCCGGGGCCCTTGGGCGTGGCTCCTGCTCGGCCTCTCGAGCCAAGTCCCGCCGTGGCAGCGAGAGTCTTGACGTGGCACCGCTCGGACTTGTGCATTTGTTCCCGGCTCGGACCATCGAAGCATCCTGCATCATTTGGAGGAAAAAAGCACGCGCCACACCGCAAAAATGCACTGGGAATGGACGTCCGAGCGATGGCCAGTTGAGCACACGCTCAGAGAAACTCCCGAGACGACTACGAGGTTGACGTCGCCGCCGCCGCCGCCGCCGTCGTTGCCGCCGCCACCGTCGTCTTCGTCTTCGTCCTCGTCCTCGTCGTCGTCGTCGTCGTCGTGTCCACTTGAGATCAGGTCAGGCTTGGCCCCTGGACCCCTCCCCGTGGCCTTTCCTGGCCAGCTTCTCGAGCCGCGTTCGGCAGTGGAGACGAGCGCTTCAAGAAATGCCCCCAAACCTGCGAAACGCCGCCGCTGCCGACGCCGCCACCGCCACCGCCGCCGTCGCCGTCGTCGTCGTCGTCGGCGGCGGCGGCGTCGTCGGCGTCGGCGTCGGCATGGTCGTCGTCGTCGGCGTCGGCATGGTCGTCGTCGTCGTCGTCGTCGTCGTCGTCGTCGGCGTCGTTGTGGTCGTCGTCGTCGTCGTCGTCGTCGTCGTCGTCGTCGTCGTCGTGGTCGTCGTCGGCGTCGTTGTGGTCGTCGATGTTCGACCGCCAGGAAGCTGCTCGGGATCTTCAAGAGCCTGCGGCAGCGAATCTCGGAGGAGCCCGGAGCGGTCCCCGCGACGCCAGCCGCCCTCCGCGGTGGCGGCTCTTGCAGGGCCTCGGCGGAGGGCGTCGTCGTCTTCTTCACCGTCGAGTGGGAGGGCGAGGAGGAGGAGGAGGAGGAGGAGGAGGAGGAGGAGGAGGAGGAGGAGGAGGAGGAGGAGGAGGAGGAGGATGAGGAGGAGGAGGAGGAGGAGACGAGGAGGAGGAGGAGAGACGAGGCGGAGGAGGAGGAGGAGGAGGAGGAGGAGGAGGAGGAGGAGGCGGGAGGAGGAGGAGGAGGAGGAAGAGGAGGAGGAGGAAGAAGAGGAGGAGGAGGAAGAGGAGGAGGGGAGGAGGAGGAGGAGGAGGAGGAGGAGGAGGAGGAGGAGGAGGAGGGGAGTTGGAGGAGGAGTTGGAGGAGGAGTTGGAGGAAGAGTTGGAGGAGGAGTTGGAGGAGGGAGGAGGAGGGGGAGGAGGAGGACGAGGAGGGGGAGGAGGAGGAGGAGGTGGAGGAGGAGAAGATGGCAAACGGAGGCAGATACTGTGGATGATTATGATGTTTCGAGTAAGCGCTGCGGTTCTGCGCCACACCCAAGAGGAACTCTGAACGAGCCAAGCTTTGGAGGGTCTGGTTCCAGGGACGGATTCCCGATTCAGCGAGTCTTTCCCTCTTTCCTCCCTCCACCCCTCCTGACCCCTTCCTCCACCTCCTCCCCTCTTCCCCTCCCTCCTCTACTGGGCCCAACCTTTAGACCTCCCTTTTCTGTCGTCGCGCTCCGCTTGCTCGTGGAGCGACCAGGCCCGCCTCAGGTCATCGAGGTCACCGAAGGAGGGGAAGGAAGGAGGGAGGGAGGGTCCAGTTTCAACCTCTTCCTCCTCCTTCCTTCTCCCTCTCGCGCGCTTGTTGTTGCATGCTCTACCATCTTTGCTCTCGCTGCGCGCTGTCTTTGGGCAGCACTTGTCACACGTTACCAGCATATAGCATTAGGGGTCGCTTCATGAAGCTCTGTCCGCCACGCGAAACGCAACGACACGACACGAAAACGAGGGGGTGAGAGAGGGTCGGAGAGAAGGGTGCCTTTCGCCTCCCCCCTCGAAGCAGAGATCGGGGCGCTTCATTGCGTACGGCTCTTGCTCCCCCCCACAAGGAGGCGACGGTTAGGCAGCGCGCAGTGAAGCTCTGTCAGCGCGGGCGTGAGGCGACCTTCATCGCCGATCAGGCACGGCCCTCGTCTCCTTCCTCCAACACGGGGGGCAGGGAGAAGGAGGAAGGTTCGAGGATCGAGGTTCCAGGGTCAAGGTTCGACGACGGAGATTTTTGGATGCGGGCCATTCGGAGGCTTCTGGAGACCTCGTGATGCCTTTACGGACCCTCGGCGGGGAAGGGATCAACGGGAAGGGAAGGGGCTTCCCTTCCTTGCGACTCAAAGAGCATATCCCAGGACCACCCCAGCCCATATCTCCCTCACACACACGCCGACCTGGTCGGCGGAATGTTTTTTTTTGGGGGTATCTCTCTTTCTCTCTCTCTCTCTCTCTTTATCTCTCTCCCTCTCGTACTCTCGCTTTCTCTTTCTCTCTTTCTCTCTTTTTCGATTTTTCCCACCCATCCAGTGGTGTTGGGTCCTCGTTTTGAAGAGAGCGCCCTGCGTTCCTTCCTCCTTCCTCCTCCTCCTCCTCCTCCTCCCTCCTCCCATCCCTGCCTCTCTCCGCATGTCCACCACTTCGGCACACACCTCACACGTTTCGTGACCCCAATGTGAAGCTCCACCGAAGGCCCCAGTGCCACCGCCCGCATGCGTCACCCACATCCATTTTGGCACACCCGTCACATGTTTCGTGGCCCCATATGAAGCTCCACCTAAGGTCCCAGTGGCGCAGCCCGCATGCTTCCCCCACACCCATTTTGGCATTTTTCGTGGCCGCATAGCCGGCTCCGCCGACGGTCCCAGTGGCGCAGCCCGCATGCGTCGCCCACACCCATGTCGGCACACCCCTCACACATTTCGTGGCCTCGCAGGAGCTCCACCGAAGGTCCCAGTGGCGCAGCCCGCATGCGTCCCCGCCACCCATTTCGGCACAGCCTTCACACGTTTCGAGTCCCCATAGGGAGCTCCACCGAAGGCCAGCATGGCGCCGTCCACATGCGTCCCCGCCATGCATTTCGGCACACTCCTCACATTTTTCGTGGCCCCATTGGGAGCTCCACCGAAAGCCCGAATGGCACCGTCCACATGAGTCCCCCCCACCCATTTCGGCACACCCCTCATACGTTCCGTGGCCCCATAGGGGTCTCTACCGAAGGCTCCACCGCCCATATGCGCCCACTCCACCCCTGGCACACCCCTCACAAGAGTTGGCCACATGGGGAGCTCCACCGAAGATGATACTCACAACTGCGGGACTCACAATTGCATCTGTTTGGGTCCTTCGCCAGGCAAGTGTTTTGGGTCTCTCTCTTTCTCTCTATCGGTCCAGTGGCGCTGCCGGTCGATTCCGCCATCGCGCTCGGGCGGGCGCCTGGGGGGGGGGGCGTGTACGTTTCTTTGCAAGCAGAACGGCTCGTTGCAACCAGAACGGGCACTTTCCAACAAGCGAAGATTTCCTTGGAAGGTCAGTTCCAGGAAGGGCATTGTCCGACCATGCAAATAACATCACCGTAGAAGTAGTAGTAGTAATAGTAGTAGTAGTAGTAGTAGTAGTAGTAGTAGTAGTAGTCGTTGTCGTCGTAGTAGTAGTAGTAGTAGTAGTAGTAGTAGCAGTAGTGGTAGTAGTAGTAGAAGAAGAAATCGTAGTTGTAGTAGTAGTTGTGGTAGTAGTAATTTCAACCGTAGTGATAGTAGTAGTAGTTGTAGTAGTAGTAGTAGTAGTAGTAGTAGTAGTAGTAGTAGTAGTAGTAGTAGTAGTAGTAGTAGTAGTAGTAGTAGTTATAGTCGTAGTAGTAGTAGAAGAAGATGTCGAAGCAATAGTATTCGTAGTAGTAGTAGTAGTAGGAGAAATACTAATGGTAGAGGAAGTCGTAGTAGTAGGAGTCGTAGTAGTTGTTGTTTTAGCTGTAGTTGTAGAAGTAACACTACCCGTATTAGCTGCGGTCCTGAGGTGCAGTAGTAGTTTTCGTAGTTTGTGTAGTAGTAGTAGCAGCAGTAGTAGCAGTAGTAGTAGTAGTAGTAGTAGCAGTAGCAGTAGTAGTAGTAGTAGTAGTAGTAGTAGTAGTAGTAGTAGTAGTAGCAGTCGCAGTAGAAATAGTAGAAGTAGTAGAAGTAGTAGTAGTAGTAGTAGTAGTAGTAGTAGTAGTAGTAGAGTAGTAGTAGTAGTAGTAGTAGTAGTAGTAGTAGTAGTAGTAGTAGTAGTAGTAGTAGTCAGTAGTAGTAGTACTTTTATTAGTAGTAGTCGTAGTAGTAGTAGTAGTAGTAGTAGTGGTAGTAGTAGTAGTAGTAAATTGTACGTAGTAGTAGTAATAGTAGTACCAGTAGCAGCAGCAGCAGTAGAGTAGTAGTAGTGTAGTAGTAGTAGTAGTAGTAGTAGTCGTAGTCGCAGTAGTAGTCAGTAGTGTAGTAGTAGTAGTAGTAGTAGTAGTAGTAGTAGTAGTAGTAGTAGTAGTAGTAGTAGTAGTGGTGGGCGTAGTAGTATGTAGTCTGTCGTCTGTAGTCTGTAGTAGTAGTAGTAGTAGTAGTAGTAGTAGTAGTAGTAGTATTAATAGTAGATAGTATTAGTAGTCGTAGTAGTAGTAGTAGCAGTAGTAGTCGTCGTCGTCGTAGTGGTGGTAGTCGTCGTAGTCGTAGTAGTAGTTGTAGTCGTAGTAGTAGTAGTAGTAGTATAGTAGTAGTAGTAGTAGTAGTAGTAGTAGTTAGTAGTCGTAGTAGTAGTAGTAGTAGTAGTAGTAGTAGTAGTAGTAGTAGTAGTAGTTAGTAGTAGTAGTAGTAGTAGTAGTAGTAGTAGTAGTGTAGTAGTAGTAGTAGTAGTAGTAGTAGTAGTAGTAGTAGTAGTAGTAGTAGTAGTAGTAGTGGTAGTAGTCGTAGTAGTAGTAGTAGTCGTAGTAGTAGTAGTAGTAGCAGTAGTAGTAGTAGTAGTCGTAGTACTTGGAGCAGCAGCTGCAGCAGGAGTAGTCGTAGAACGCGGGAGGGTCCATACCATACCCCTGTTTTGGTGCTGTTGAATGATGGTGATGATGTGTGCTTGGTGATGGTGATGGTTCATCGTGATGTATCCTTGGTGATGGCTATGGTTGGTCATGATGTAGTGTTGTAGTGTAGGTCGTGCAGGTACTGTAATGTTGTAGTGTCGTGTAGTCGTGCTGTAGTGCTGCAGTGCTGTAGTGCTGTAGTGCTGTAGTGTTGTAGTGGTGTAGTGGTGTTTGTGGCGGCTGTAGCTGTAGTGTTGTAGTGGTGTAGTGGTGTAGTGTTGTAGTCGTGTAGTGTTGTAGTGGTGTAGTGTTGTAGTGCTGTAGTCGTAGAGAGTAGTAGTGGTAGTAGTAGTGTTGTAGTGGGACTGTTGGGACATGATACCTCACGCCTGGTGGCCCGACGTCGTCGGGTCGAGGAGAGGGGCTCACGTCTTGCCACTGGACACCCCTCCCTGGTGGCGAAAACGATAGCCGTAGGAGGTGGGCACGTATGTGAAAGGACACATTCCTCGACCGCGGACTGAGAGCACTGTGTAGCCGTAGTGGTATGGTCCACCTGCAGGACAGGAGGAAGGAGGAGGGAGGGAGGAAGGCTGGGCGAGGGAAGGGGGGAGGAGCACTTTGACACCGCTGTGTTTTGAGCCGCCTACGCGACCGCAGTGTCAGAGCCACTCTGGGGGAACGGTTGCGCAGGACAACATGCGCTCTCTTGCTCTCTGGTCGCAGACGTAGTCGTAGCTGCAGGGAGGGGGGAGGCGGGAGGAGGAAGAGGAGGAGGAAGATGAGGAGGATGGGGATGAGGAGTAGGAGGAAGAGGAGGAGGATAGGGAGGAGGAGGCAGAGGAGGGAGCAACATGAGTGTATACATGCATATAAGCTTACACATGAGTGCATAACTATATGTATGCACGAGCTTATGATTTCCCAGGGATTCCTATGGATTCCTTGGGCATCCTAATAATCCTAAGGGTTCCTAGGGATTCTTACTCTTAGGGATTCCTCGTAACCCTGAGGGTTCCTAGGGATTCCTAGGAGTCCTAGGGTTCCTAGGGATTCCTCGGGATTCCTAGGAATGCCTCACACTCCTAAGGGTTCCTAGGGATTCCTATGTATCCATATGAGTTCCTAGTAATCCTACTGGTTCCTAGGGATTCTTATTCCCAGGGGTTCCTAGGGATTCCTGGTAATCCTGAGGGTTCCTAGGAATTCCTAGGGATTCCTCATAACCCTGAGGGTTCCTACGGGTTCTCACTCCTAGGGATTCCTAGGACTTCATGGGGAATCCTAGCAATCACAAGGGTTCCTCGGGATACACGTCATACATACACACTTCTAGTATACATTGCACACATGCACAGGCACACTCATACACACATCACACATTATTCTTCACACACGTTCACGCGCACTACGTATTATACAGTCAGCACATATACATTGCACTGCACACGTAGTCATTAGACATCCACAAACAAATGCGCACACATGCATATTATATTTACACGTGTACATGTGTGTACACATGCTTACATACATCATACAGGTATTCATACCAAACACATGCATATATACATATACAATGACATATACATGGTCAACACACACATATGTATACATATTTTGTACATATCAACATACATACACATTACCCCAGTGCGACCCTACCTAGGAGTTGGAGCCCCTAGGAACGCAGCATTAGTAGTAACGGTAAACGCCGTCCTCCTCCTCATCGTCGAAGTTGCCTCTGCTTTTGCTTGTTTTTGCTTTTGCTTGGTTTTGCTTTTGCTTTGCCTTCGCTCACACACACACGCATGTTTTTGCATTCGCTCACCAGGTGGGCTCTCCGATCGTACTGTTGCACATTGCCTTTGTTTTGCCTTTCATTTGCTTTGCTTTTGCTTTTGCTTTGCTTTGCTTTGCTTTGCGTTGCTAGTGCTTTGTTTTGCTGTTGCTGTTGCTGTAGCTTAGTTAAGCTAAGCTAGGCAAAGCTTGGCTAAGCCTTTTGCTTTTGCTTTGCTGTTGCTCGGTTTGACATGTGCTTTGGCTTTGCTTTGCTAAGCCTTTTGCTTTGTTTTTGCTGCGCTATGCTATGCTATGCTGTGCTATGCTGAGCTATGCTATGCTATGCTATGCTGCGCTATGCTATGCTATGCTGGGCTATGCTATGATATGCTAAGCTAAGCTAAGCTAAGCTACAGCTAAGCGAAGCTAAGATGAAGCTAAGCTAAGATAAGCTAAGCTAAGCTAAGATGAGATAAACAACGCTAAGCTAAGGGGACGTAACTGGGGGAACCGCGGGGCGGATACTGGGGGAACCGCCCGGGCCGGTTACGACTGCCCTGCCCTTTAAGCCAAGAGAGTAAGAACCCTTCTAGGCAGAGCCTAGGTAGGGAAAAACTGATTTCAAAAACTATGCTATGCTATGCTATGCTATGCTATGCTGCGCTATGTTATGCTATGCTGGGCTATGCTATGATATGCTGTGCTGCGCTATGCTATGCTACGCTATGCCATGCTATGCTGTGCTCTGCTATGCTAAAGCTCAGCGAAGCTAAGATGACGGTAAGCTAAGCTAAGATAAACCTGAGCTAAGATGAAGCTAAGCTAAGCTAAGATGAAATAAGCTAAGCTAAGATGAGGTAAGCAACGCTAAGCTAAGGGGACGTCACTGGGGGAACCGCGGGACGGATACTGGGGGAGCCGCCTGGGGCGCTTTCCACTGCCCGGCCCCTTTAAGCCCAGAGAGTAAGAACCCTTCTAGGCAGAGCCTGGGTAGGGAACATACATGTATACAAATATACGTACGTTCAGGGGTCTGTTATGGACTCCCCGGCTATTAGAAGTAGTAGCAATCGTCGTAGTAGTAGTAGTAGTAGTAGTAGTAGTAGTAGTGGTAGTGGTAGTGGTAGTGGTAGTGATAGTAGTAGTGGTTATAGCGGGAGTAGTCGCAGGTGTACACTTAGTCGTCTTAGCTGTAGTAGTGGTAGTAGTAGTAGTAGTAGTAGTAGTAGTAGTAGTAGTAGTAGCAGTAGTCGTACCATTAGTACGAATAGGAGTCGTAGTCGTCGTCGTCGTCGTCGTCGTAGTAGTAGTAGTAGTAGTAGTAGTAGTAGTCGTAGTAGTAGTAGTAGTAGTAGTAGTAGTAATACTGACATTATTAGTAGTAGTGGTAGTAGTAGTAGTAGTAGTAGTAGTAGTAGTAGTAGTAGTAGTAGTAGTAGTAGTAGTAGTGGTCGTAGTAGTATTAGTTGTAGTGGTAGACGTAGTAGTAATAGCAGTAGCAGTCGTAGCAGTAGTAGTAGTAGTAGTAGTAGTAGTAGTAGTCGTCGTAGTAGTAGTATTAGTAGTAGTAGTAGTTTTAGTAGTAGTAGTAGTGGTAGTAGTAGTAGTAGTAGTAGTAGTCGTAGTGATAGTAGTAGTAGTAGTAGTAGTAGTAGTAGTAGTAGTAGTCGTAGTAGTAGAAGTCACAGCAGCAACAGTAGTAGTAGGAGTAGTAGTAGTAGTAGTAATAGCAATCGTTGGGATAGTAATAGTAATTGTAGTAGTAGTAGCAGTAGTAGTAGTAGTAGTAGTAATAGTAGTAGCAGTCGTAGTAGCCGTAGTAGTTGTAGTACTAGTAGTAGTAGTAGTAGTAGTCGTCGTGGTCGTAGTCGTAGTCGTAGACGTAGTTGTAGTCGTAGTAGTAATAGGAGTAGTAGTAGTAGTAGTAGTAGTAGTAGTAGTAGTAGTAGTAGTAGTAGTAGTAGTAGTAGTAGTAGTAGTAGTAGTAGTAGTAGTAGTAGTAGTAGTAGTAGTAGTAGTAGTAGTAGTAGTAGTAGTAGTAGTAGTAGTAGTATATTATTATTAGTAGTAGTAGTAGTAGTAGTCGTCGTAGTAGTAGTAGTAGTAGTAGTAGCAGTAGTAGTAGTAGTAGTAGTAGTAGTAGTCGTAGTCGTAGTCGTAGTCGTAGTCGTAGTAGTAGTAGTAGTAGTAGTAGTAGTAGTAGTAGTAGTAGTAGTAGTAGTATGAGGAGGAGGGGGAGGAGGAGGAGGAGGAGGAGGAGGAGGAGAAGAAGGAGGAGGAGGAGGAGAGGAGGAATATGAGGCGAATGAGGACGAATGCTGAGGGAGGAAGAGGAGAGGAGGAGGGAGGAGGACGAGGGATGAGGAGGAGCGCAGCGAGGAGGAGGGAGCAGGAGGAGGAAGATAGGAGGATGCCCCCACCCAGTCCGTTGTTTGTGGGATATATGTATTTCTATATACATATACATGTATATGTATGTGCATGTGTATATCTAAACGTATTCCTCTGTCTCTCTCCCCTCTCCGCTTTTTAGTACTGTTTGTTTTTGCTGTGGGTACCCGTTGTTTCCTTGTTTCTTCTGAATCAATCTCTCTCTCTCTCTCTCCTCGCTCTCTCTGTTCGTATTTCTCTTTCTCCTCCCTCTGCCCCCTCCGGCCAGGCAGTCGAAGATCTGCATGAGCTCTACATCTCGCACGCCCCCATCTTCCACCAATTTCTGCAATGCCAGGCCGCCATCAACAGCACCCCCGTCATCGACCTCGACAAGCCTACGGTGGTCTTTGTCGGAGCCCCGAACGTCGGCAAATCCTCGCTTGTGCGCTCCCTCTCGACGGGCGTCCCCGAGGTGAACAACTACTGCTTCACCACGAAGCAGCTCACCGTCGGACACCTGTGGCACTTCATATCGGGGACGCCCTTGCTCATCCACGGCCAGATTGTGGACTCCCCGGGCATGCGCGGCCTGTGGGACAAGGACGACAAGAGGTACAACCTCCTGGATCTCGACGAACAAAAGGCATAAGCACGAACCGACGGAGGTCCGCGCGTATCTTCTCTCATCGGCGATGGACTCCCCTCCCTGCCGCGCGGAGCGCGCCACGGGGGCCCAGTCGATGGCACGAGAGATCCGCGCGGGCCTCCGAGAGCTGACGCTTATGCATGTGTCTCTTCTTCTAGGATCAACTCACGCTCGGCTCCATGGAGCACCTCCCGACGGGGGTCTGCTTCGTATTCGACCCCTACCCAGTCACTCACGGGCTCCTGTCCGTGACGGAGCAGCTTGAGCTGCGGGACGGGCTCCGCCGGAAGTTCCCGAAGCGGCCGTGGCTGGACGTGATCACGAAGTGCGACTTGGTGATTCCCGAGGCTCAGAAGAGGAAAACATCTACCGATGCCGCTGCAGAGCCCTCGCCGCCACGATGAGCTCCTCCTCGAAGATTCTGGTCAGAGTGCGCCCCAGGAGAGGTCCAGGGAGTAGTGGTATCGGTACTCCAGATTTCGTAATAAAGGGAGGGGGGTCCCATTTCGGGGGGGGGGTCTCTTCCAGGCTATCTTGGAGGGCCTGGGGGGGTCTGGGGGCGATGTTTTGGAGGGTTCTCCCACGGGGGGGGGGGTCTGAAATGGCTTGTCTTGGAGGGTCCAGACCCCCTCCCTTTTATTACGAGATCTGGAGTACCTCTTTGATCCCCCGAGAGGCCATCGAGGGCATCGCCACCCTCTCGAGACTCCATCCCGACGCCATCCAGGCACCGGGGGGCGCCGACCACACATTCTTGCCGCGCGCGGGCGCCCCGTTCCCTTGGCCCAGGAGTGGTGCATACCCCCTAGGCGATGCTTAAGAAAACCTAAGTTTTCGGCAAGAGTCTCGATTCTTCTTAACGTTTGAATGTAGATCTTAAGATTATAATAGAAGTTCTGGGTTTAACTTCAAGTTCTGAGACTATGAATTTCTTAACCCATGATTTCTTAAGCATTTCGCAGGGTGTACCCCTGCCCGACTTGGCACTGAGGGCGTGTGTGCCGATCCTGGGCATCGGGCCGGGCTGGCGAGGCTGCCCGGGTCCGCTTCGGTCCGATCGCATCCCCAAGTTTCGACTGCGATCTCGATGCGATCCGATCCGACGCGAACCGACTCCTTATATAGCCGCCGAGCCCGATCCGTGATCCCGACGATCCGATCACGATGCGACTCTGCGACGCCCGGAGCGCGATCCGATCCGAGCCGAAATTTCGCGACCCGATCCGGCTCTGGCCTGCCTTGCCCGGATCGGTCCTGGGAGCAGACCGCGCCAAGACGGGCCCCGGCCCGTCTTTCTCACGGTCCCGGGGCGGGGCGAACAGTTTTCCGAGCGTCTCTCGGGGGCGGAAAAGAGGGGGGTGATGACTAGGGGGGGGGTGGATATCATGGCGGGGGCCGTGATATTTCCCCAGATCTCATGGCGCCTCTTCTTGTTCCATGACGTCCCTGGCCTCCCCGCTGGGCCGCGCACATGCCGCCGGCCATGATTTGCACCCCCCCCCTCTTGGACACCCCCCTCTTGGCCGCTCCCGACTTTTGGTCAGGCAAGAAAGTGCTTCGTGCCTCGTCCTGCTGCGCGGGCGCTCTGGGCCGGGCGCCCTCCCTACGGCCGCCCCGCCGTGCCGCGCGCCGCTGCTGGCGCTTTTCGGGGGCGCGGAGGAGCTCCCGGGCGGCGCGGCCCCGAGTGCCGGCCAGGGCGGGCCCGTGCTTGGCCGCTCCCGAGTCTCCCCCGTGATGGTTTCACGGCGAGAGGAGGCCGGCGAGGAGCGGCGCGGCCAGGATCGGTCCCCCGACCACCACCGCGCCGAGAGGGGCCCCGCGAGCCCCGCAGAGGGCTCGGTCCTCGGGGAAGCGGCCCGCGGGACCGACAAGGCTCGGGCGACGAGGACGATGCACATTTTTTGGGGGTTTTGTTTTGCTGTCCGAGGGAGGAACAAAAACGGCCCTGGGCGTTTACTAAAACGGCCCTGGGCGTGTACTAAAAGCCTGGGCGCTCACTAAGCGGCCCTGGGAGTTTACTCAACGCCTTGCCATGTTCGATTTCGTCCACGGGCGCGTTGACTAAACGACTTCGCGTGTCGAGGTGGTTATTCTGGGGGTGGATTTTCTGACCTCCTAGCTTTGCCCCTTTATATACCAGCGAGGACGGAGCCCAGTGGCGGACGACACGACAGACGAGCGACGGGCGACAGACGAGACGAAGGAGGCGGCGCAGGGGGGGAGGGAGGGGAGAGGGAGGAGGGGGGAGGGCGCGCGGGGGGCACGGGCACGCGCGCCAGGATCGATGCGCACATACGCACATACGCGGATGCTGTCTGGGCCCCATCCTGGCCCAGGACCGGTGCGCATGCCTCCCTGGCCGAGCGCGCTGGCGCCGATGCTGGGCTCAGGGCTTCGGATGCAGCTCCTGGGAGGTAGAATTCTGACTTTCCCCTGGTCGAGACGCCCGCCTCCTCCGGCTAACTCTCCCGCTCAATCCGGCTTCCTCCCATTGAATTCGGCCCGATTGCGTGTAATCCGCGGCCCCATCCAGCGCATCGGCCGCCCAGTGGGGCTTCATCCTCTTCTAGTCATTCCGACGAAGGCCTCCCAGTAGTTGCCTCCTCACAGGGTGGGCCTGGCCAGGGTCGGCACATGCGAGTAGTCCTCTGCTTTCTGGCAGGTGCGCACGCGAGGGGCTGCTGCCCCACCGTGCTGTCCT